TCCAGCCCCTTCCCCAGTCTCTATTTCTGGAGATGGCACGTTCTCTCCCTCTTTCTATTCTGCCACCCCTCCTTTCCCGATCTCCCCAGGCAGCCCTCCATGATTTCCTGATAGCTAATTTTTGTCTGTGAGAATGTACTATCAGAAGCCTTACTTTCACTCATAAAAGTTTGCAATTGTGTTTGTGCCATGTGATTTCTTTCCACAGAGAGAAGCAAGAACTGAGGCAAACATCCCCATACCTAACAGTACCATTACACATTATTTTTGTTTTCATATCCAATTGACCCAACTCCTTTTACCAACTATGACTTTACTCTCCCCATTATCATGTTTTATTGATCATATGTTTGATATGTATTTTACATTAGTTTATTTGGTTAGCCTTGAAATATAACTTACTCTCTTAGTAACAAATTTTGATATCCGGCAATCTAAGATCTCGAAATTTATTCCTCTTCTAAAATACATGACTGTTTACAGTTGACTGATTGCAATTCAATTTAATTTTAGGATGAGCTTATCATTTTTCACAAAAATAAAGCTTCCATTATGGGATTGAAATTGAATTAATTTTATTGATAATTTGATGTGGGAACTTCTGCTTCCAATTAAGGTGAGATAACTAGAAAAAAAAGAAAAAAATGTTATGTTTTAGAATGTCATGTAGAATTGCTGAATAATAATAAAAGACTCTGGGGAAGGAACAATCTTATATATATGACTTGTGATGGTTACTTGATCCCTGTATTTATAGATTTGGGGCAGTGGTAGGACACTGTAAGTCCATCCTTTTTACAATAGTAGCCCACTGCATGAGTGCAGAAACCACAAATCATTTGCTTGGTAATGCAAGAATAAGAAACTTTTTTTTTTTTTTACCACAGGGCATTTACCAATTGTTTTTGCCACATGGCCTGCAAAGAATTACCTAGAAGCCCTAGTGGCACAGTGGTTAAGCGCTTGTGTGCTAACTGAAAAGGTGAGCAATTGGAACCTGGCCGCCACTTCAAAGGAAGAACGATGTGGCAAACTCCTTTTCTAATGATTGTATAGTTGATAGAGGGGCCATAGAGTATGGCCATAGGCCATACTCCTGAAACTTGTTCACAGTCATTGCAAGACTCCAGTGCATTTTTGGAGCTTACTGCCTTAGACACTCCAAGGGGTGAGTCCACTCTTTCCTATAGAGTTACCATGAGTCAGAAGTGACACCTTCACAATGTGCTCATGAAGACTAGAGCAGGTCTCAGTGATTTCATGAGGAAATGGCCCCCATGATGGTAGCTTGGTGAGCTACATGTGATTTAGTAAGCAACTGCCAACAAATATATTAGCAAATGAGAAAACTATAAAGCCTCCCTAGAGAAATATCAATATTATCTTAAGCATCTGTTCTTTTATGCTCAATGCCATACCTCTAATCACAGTACATTTTTGATATGAAAAACAGGATACTAAGAATTCAGACACTGGGAAATAAACAACATAACTACTATAAAAATCACTTAGATATTTTAGTTTGATGACAAACATTTCAAAGTCACATTATTTGAAAAAACAAAGGGCTTGACAATTTCACTAGATGATAGAAACTGAAGAAGATAACTTGAATTCATAAATTAAAACTCTGATTAGCATGTTTCAGTAATAGGTAAGACAGCATAAAGGAAATAAACCTCATGTACATAGAATGGATTTAATTTAAATCCCTCAGAAGAAAGATAACTTTCCCCCCAAAAAACCCCTCACTGCTATCTCTTTTAAACAGTATAAAATATTATTTTAAAAATAGCCTAATTACATTATATTAGGGAGATTAGGAATTCTTAAAATGAGTAAAAATACAAAGGCATGTTGCCTTCAAAATAATATTCAGAAGACTGGAATAACTAAAAATATTTAAAAACGTTTTAATACACTATTCACCTTCGTTAATTTTATCCCACATGCACACACACATAGGTGTTCTGGAACACAACCAGGTTATTTATTAATTACTTAAAATAAAACATGTTCCTCAGCCTCTTCTGCCCATGCCTCACCCCTGGGGCAATGAAAAGAGTACCAATAGTAGCTTTTTCCTACACAAGCGGTCCTTCAGTCCCTAGGGAAGGGATGAAATAAAACCAGTGTTTCTCGGCTTGTAAGAGAAAAGAGGCTAGTGTCCTCCCTCTTGAAAAGGCCTCCTCCTTGCTCCACACATTCAGATGGAAAGAAAATTTCTCCCTGGGCCTGAAATCCATGGCTCTTGATTTCTAGGATTTAAGTAATGTCACCAAATTCTGGCTCTTCAGACCTCAAACATTGTCGAAGGAGATAAGCCCTGGCACATTGGTATTTAATCGAAGAAATGTACCAGTCTATAGAGATGATCTAAATCTCTAAAATAACCGGAATGTCTCTGAAAGTTAAGAGAAGCTTTATTATCCTTTTTCAGTAACAGCCCCGCTTCCCCCACCCCCCAAATATCTAAAAGTAACAATTAAGTGAGTTCTTTAGTTAAAAGGAAAATTATTATAAGAGGAAGCATGAATCTTGTGAAGAACAAAGAAACAAGTAAATATTGTCTGTTAACCCATGAAGTGCAGGTAAATATAACATTTTTTGAAATACAGATAGATTATCAGGTTGGGATGTAAATAAAGACAACTAGGATACTTTCTAAATTACAGCACAGGAAGTTGAAATATATATATATGAGAGAGAGAGAGAGAGAGAGAGAGAGAGGAACACGCAGGAAAAGCTCCACTAAGTGAAGCTTTCATGGGGTGCATTTTCCCCACTAGGCGCGCATCCAGCCACTCGCTCTGAGTTAGTGCCCCCAGGGGAATTGCCTGGGAAGTCTCTCTGGTCGCAGGTATTTTTCTTCATAGAAGCAGTTTCACTGGGACCTCGTTTTCTGTGATGGCCGATGTCAGAGGACAGTGTGTGGCTGTGACATTTTGGATCCTGCTCTGCAAAATGCCAGAGACTGCTGTGCTGTTGAACACAGCTTACAGGGAGTGCACTATGGGGAAAACGCAAGTGTGTAAGTGGTTTTCTCGTTTCCAAAAAGGTGAAATGACAGTTGATGGCAACCCTTGTTCTGGATGTTCCCTCAGCTTCCCGAACCGAGAAACTGTCTTCAAAATCCAAGCCCTTGTGCTCAAAGACCGACAGTGGGGTGGGGAATGGGGAGTTATCTGAAGTGATATTTATTTCACCTCAGATTTTGAAGAATATTTTGAAGGAATACCCTGATACGTTGTGGTTTTCATTCAAAATGATACCATTACTAGGTTTTCTGACTTAAAATATTGGGAAATAAGACTGCTAGATTTCTTAGAGCTCCTCGAAGAACTCCTAAACTCTTCTGATGTCAGGAGACTGAAAACCGCAGCACAATTCTATGTAAGAATTTCAGGTCTCGCCAGGTTTCCTTTGGTTCTGCCTTGGGCTGTGATCTGCCAGGTCAGCAATTTGAATCCGCTCTTCTGAAGAAAGACTGTGCTTTCTACTCAGACAGTTACCGTCTGGGAAACCCACGGGGAACCAGCATTGACTCGATGGCAGGGAGTTGGTTTTGGAGTAAAGTACTAAATTTTTCTTTATCATGAAAAGCCAGCTGATCCACATATTCTTTTTGGGTAAATATTTCATAGACTATTTGAATTTTCATTGAATTTTATTTTTTGACATAGGGTTATTTAGAAATATTTACTTCAAATACTTTCTTAAAAATGTTTACTGTAAAATATTGTATTAACTTTACTTCAGTCAGAGAAAATAATATAAAATGCTTTTTTCAGGAGAAATTGGTTAAGACTTGCTTTATATTCAAGCATATGCTATACATCAGTAAATATTAATATGTACATAAAAATGCATATTGTGCAATAGTTGGATACATTTTTTTAATATATTAAGGATGCCACACTGGATTAAACATGTTAAAACGTCTTACTTTTTAATTATTAAAAAATATATTTGTTGTACTGTCAATTTTCACTTCATATATATTGAAAAGATATTTAAATTTGAAAAAGATGTTATAATTTTATACCATTAAAGCTTCTGATATTGGCTATTATACTTCTTTATTTCTAAGAATGTTCTTCATGTAAAAGTCTACATTATATATTAACAAATCTATATCAACTTTCTTTGGCATAAAGTTTCCATGGTATAAATTTTTCATCTTTCAGTTAGAGCTTTTATATACCTTTAAGTGTGACTTTTTAAAGCATTATGTAGTTGAGAATTTTTTTCTGATTGGTTATAGACCATCAGGCTATCGTATAACATGATACAATTTTAAATAAAATAGTAACCTGTTTATTCAAGAAAGTACATTTGTTATTATATTAAATTTCCCTACTTCAAACTTTCTGGGAAACAAAACTAGTGTGGAGAACTTTCTAAACCAAGAATATGAAACATAAAATCTCTTAAACATGCTTTTCTTACAGGGAGTATAATATGGACGCACATACATGCACACAAATGCATCCACAAACACACATGTATTTTACTTCTTGTTAGATTAAGACTAAAATTCCCAGTGCACTCCGGACAAACTAAGTTCCTATATTGTTTTTTAGTTTTTCCATCCATTGCAGATTGAACAATTGAATAAAAGAAAAGAGGGAAAAATGTACCTGTATGAACAGTCAAATTAAATTATACTTAAATCAACAGAGAATGAAGATTATGAAATTATTGTGGAAGAATCTAATAGGTAATTTGTTTTGAGCAGATATTTTGAATACACAACTGCTAATGTTTTATTAGGAAAAAATCTCCCCAAAGCTACAGTAAGACTATCAAAAAATTCAGCCAATGTAGGTTAAATGTTATTCATAGTTTCACAATGCCCATGGTATAGTTTGCAGTATTAAAATATACTCTCTATTTCACCATTTTGTTTTGACATATCGCTCAAATACAGTCTTCCTCTCCGTAGCTTCCTCGAAGTGTGCAGCACTCACACTGTTCGCCAGCATTCTCTGTCGTCCCGACTACTCTTTGGTTTCGCCTTCACTTTCAAGTTGCCTACATATTTTACGACAGAAACAATCAATTCAAACAATATTTTCTTAAGTGCTTTTCTACAAAAGTTTAGTCTCATCTTGAGTTCCGACCTCATATCAGGGTCAGACACTCTGTGAGGATCTCCTAACACTGAGAACATCTCCCACCCAGCAGTCAGCACACACCTCTGCGCATTCCCCAACAGGAGAACACGCACGCTAATATCTTGGCGTGAGTGAATGATATGATATGTGGACTATGTGCCACGAAAACTGTTAGGAAAAAAAGCACACCAATACAAATGTACCAGAAGGTAAACTGAGGCTGGTTTCACATTCATAACATGATTGGTTAAATATATTTAAGCAGTTTTTGCCATTCACCCTTTCCCGATTCATTTTTATTAAAATTATTATTTGCTTCCCTAAACAAATGTACTTCATATAAGTTTTTCCACAATAAAGTACACCTAATATAAGAATATTCCTTTGACATACCTAAGTATTAACTACATTATTTTAACTTTTACATATTACATTTTATTGCAGCAATTTCATGTTAATTTTTCAGTTCCTATGAAATATGTTACTTGTTATTTATATTCTTATTGACTTAAGTAAGCATATAATATATATCTTATTAAAAATAAAATGAGGGGCACATATAAAAATGCAAAAGCAGAAATTATTTCATACTAATTACCCTGAGATATATAGGACAAATATAATATTTGTGTTTATTCTTGAAACAAATTTTACAGTATTTTCATGCTATTAAAGAAAAATAATTTGTTGCATGCATTGTGTACATAAACCTAGGCTGTAGCCTACATTTTTCAGTTTATATATTATATATCGATTTTTAGAAATTTTCACCTTTTAAGTGTTTGAAATTACTTAACTATTGAAAAATGTTAAACTCCATTAAATTTTCCCAGAACTTTTAAAGAAAATAATATAGCAAGTTATTTTCAACCCATTAGTAATAAAAAGCAAAGCATTAGAAATGAACACATATTAGAGAATTAGCATAAACAATCAAGGCGGTCCACCCTTTGTCGGTTTGTTTGCTGTGGTCGCTGTGTGTTGCTGTGCTGCTGGAAGAGATGCTGCTGGTATTTCAAATGCCAGAAGGTCACCCAAGGGGACATGTTTCTGGGGAGCTTCGAGGCAAAGAAGAAATAGGCTGTCCACTTCTGTGGGAATAGCCACTGAAAAACTTATGAATGGAAGTGAACCCTTGTGAGATACTGAGAAAACCCCATAAAAAGAAGCCGAACATTGTCAGAGATGGTGCCAGAAGATGGGTCCCTCGGGCCAGAAGGCACTCAGAATATAGTTGAGGAAGAGCTGACTTCTCAAAGTGCAATCAACCATAGTGACACGGATGGAGTAACGCCTCTGTGACTAAAACCTTGGGACCCTCATTTGCTGATGGACACGATTCAAAACAAGAAGAAATAGCTGCAAGCATCAATTAATCAAGGCCATTTGGAACATACAAAGTACTAATCTAGGCATATGGAATAGCATTGGCCATTTTGAATCAGAAAATCATATGATTCACTATGCCGGGAATAAAACAATTGGGAGGAATTTTTCATCTTCAAAAAGGCCATTTCAAGACCTATCTTGAACTACAGCGCTGTCTGTGATAGGTCCTATTCCAATTCTAGTGTATATAATCATTACAACTATTATTCAAATTTATGCACCAACCACAAATGCTAATGATGAAGAAATTGAAGAATTTTACCAACATCTTCAGTCCAAAATTGATCAAACATGCAATAAAAATACATTAATAATCATTGGATATTAAAATGAAAAATTTGAAACAATGAGGAAGGTACAGTAGTTGGAAAATAGAATTTTGCACGACCAATGACTTGCACATAGCAAATACTTTTTCAACAACACAAAAGCATCCATACTTATGGATTTCTTTAGATGGAACATATAGAAATCAACTTGACTACATCTATAAGAAGAGATGATGAAGAAGCTCAATATTCGCAGACAAAACTATTATAATGAAACGTTTAAAGGCCAAGAGTTAGAAAACCAAAAGGAGGAATACACTCAGCGTATCTTAAACAGAAAGAACTACAGAGAACATTCAAGTTTGGAGTTGCAATACTGAAAGATTCTATGGGCAAAATATTTAATGATGGAGGACGCCTCAAAAGAAGATGGAAAGAATATAGAGAATCATGGCACCAAAACAATTAATGGGCATCCGCCATCAAGAACTAATGATGATATTGAAGGAGGTTCAAGTGGCATTGAAAGAATTAGCCAAAAATAAGACTCAAGAATGAATGAAAATGTCTTCACAAGCTAAGAAAGCACTAGAAACATGTATCTGTGCCAAGCAATTTGGAAGACAGCCACTTGGCCACTTGACTGGAAGAGATCCATGTTTGTACCTATTACCAAGAGAGGTGGCCCAATAGGATGCTCAAGTTATAGAACGGTATCATTGATATCAGATGCAAGTAAAATGTTGCTGAAGATCATGTAACAATGGATGCAGCAATACATTGACAGGGAGCTGCTAGTGGTTCAGGCCAGATTTATAAGAGGATGTGGAACAAGGGATATCATTGCTGATGTCAAATGAATGTTGGTTGAAAGCAGAATATACCAGAAATATGTTTACTCGTGTTTCACTGGTTATGTAAAGGCATATGCTTGTGCGGGCTGCAAAAACACTGTGAATAACCTTGAGAAGAATGGGGATTCCGGAACACTACATTATTTATGTCAGTTTGAAGATGTATGAAAGTGTAGGGGTGGAATCCAACCTGTCAATCATGTCACAGCCTGATGATACCCCGTTGAGGATGTGTCTTCTTATAAGAGGGGGAAACTGAGAATCTTCCCTTCTGCCTGACCCTTTGCCTACCTGCTTGCTAGACGTGGCTTATGACTCTGAGAGCTGTAGGCACCCTGTCATGTTTCCGCAAACCTTGGATCCCAGAGACTCTGTACCCACCACCCAGTAGCTTGTGATCTTTATGCTTTCCACATCGCCTTTCTGGGCCATTGCCTACAGAACAGTGAGTCTACTTATGAACTCTCATTGGCCTTCTTGACTTGAGTTGTACTAGGCTGGGATCCTCTCTTGCTATATAATTCCTTCTTGATATAAATTTATTTCTTATACATAGATGAATGTCACTGGACTTGTTTTTCTAGACAACCTGGGATAACAGAATTGTGGCCATATGGAATATGTACATAGATCAAAAGGTAGTTGTGTAAACATCCAAGGGAATCTACTTCATGGTTTAAAGTCAGGCTTGTATTCGCTCAGCACACTCATTCTATCTACATGCTAAGAAAATAATCAGAGAAGCTAGATTATATGAAGAAGAATGCATTATCAGGTTGGAGGAAGGCTTATCAACAATCTGCGATATCTAGGCCAGCACTAACTTTATTGATAAAAGTAGAGAAGACCTGAACCACTTGCTGATGAAGATCAAGGATTGAAGCCTTCCGTATGGATTACAACTCAACGTAAAGAAAACAAAAATCATCATAACTGGACCAGTAGGTAACATGATATCAGAGAAAAGATTGAAATTGTCAAGGATTTTGTTTTTGCTTGGAGCCACAATCAATGTTCATGGAAGCAGCAGTCAAGGGATCAAAGGATGCACTGAATTGGTTAAATCTGTCTTGGAAGAAAAAGACCCAGAGTGTTCCTTAGAGGCAAGGAGGGTAAGCCTCGGTGTCACAGCAGTTGGACATGTCATGAGAGACTAATACCTGGAGCAGAACATCATGCTTGGTAAGTATCAGGGAAGTGAAAATGCGAAGGGCTTTTGACAGGAAGGATTAACACAGCGGCTGCATGGAGAAGCTCAAACCTAAGAACAATTGTGAGGATGGCACACAACTGGACAGTATTTAGTTATGTTGTACATGGGCTCTGAACCAATTACATGGCTCTTAATAATAACAACAAAAAAATAATAAAAGAGGTAGAGACTAAATTAGGAATCAATTTCACTAACCCTAACAGTCCAACTTGTTACAGACTGTAAATTGCTGGCCTTTAAAATTTTTTGCTCACTATTGATAATATTAATGGTTTTAGTTTTAAGTATTAAATTTCCATATAAGGAAAAATTATTATATCTGAATTTTCACTAGTCATATACAATATGGTATTCATTATGCAATTACTAAATATATTAAACTTATAAATAATAAATGAAAAATACAAACTCAATATACTCATCGCTTGTATACTCTTCTGATCTCCATTTTTTTCTTTGCCTAGTAACTTTCACCAATACAGCTATCAATATTCCGAGAATAATGAAAAAGGGAATGAGCAAGAAATATGGCCATCTCGTCGGTTTGGTACTGTAATCAATATCAATGTAACGGCTGTCTAGGAAAGAAAATGCCAGAGATTTTCAAGTAATCATTCAGGATCAAAGAAAATACTTTCACCTAACAGAGTTTTGTGCTCCCTTTAATATAGTATGCACTTGAGTTGCAATTGAGTTGATGGTTCGTTAGCGCCCCAAGTGGGCAGAGTAGAACTGCTCCATAGATTGTCCAGGTCTGTAAGTCTTTCGTGAACCTGAATGCCACCTTCTCCCCACATCAGTAATCTTTTATGCAACTGAATATTTAACCACTTAACCTGGTTCATTTTAATATAGTCACACTTGGAAAAAAGTAAGCATAATTAATTTACTTCATCTGAAATTACAAATTAACATTGAGGAAATTAATGTGATAGGAAAATGTACACGGGCCTTTTTCAAGGGTTCCTAATAACTTCTGCCATCTGGCAGACATGTGCTGGACCCAATTCTTTCCTAATTACATCCATGCTTTACTATGATGCATAACTCAGAAATGGTTGGAGTACTCTTAACATAGTAGTGAACTGGTGCAAGATTAATATTGTAATTCATTCCTTAAATGTGATATGGGAAGATCAATATAAACTTAGGTGAGCTACGTGAGGGTTCATTTTGATAACATTTTAGTGCAGATCAAATTGAGTGCTCCTTAAGCCTTGCACTCCCCTGTGGCTGACCGAATAGCCCATCTCTTAGCCCAGAGCTATAAGAACCAGGAATACAGTAAAGCCCTATGTAGGAGTCAGGGTAGCATAATTGGTTAAATCCAGGGATGCTAACTGAAAAGTCAGTCGTCACCCACCTAGGACAAAAGACCTGGCGATCTCTCACAAAGATTACGGCCTAGAAAACCCAATCCCATCCTATAGGACAGGGTAGATCTGGCCACTGTGGGTTTCTGAGACCACACAGCTTCCCGGGGTCGGGAAAAGAAAATCGTTGACGAGATGCATTGACGCAGAGGATACATCGATAGGTTCAAACATAAGAACAATCTGAGAGCAATACAGACCGGGCAGGCTTTAGTTCTATTGTACATCGGATCGCTGTGACCCACAGCAGACCCAGATCTACTAACAACACATCTTGTAGGTGAGCCCTGCTTTGTTGTTCTTTTATTCCGAGTTAATTTTACAATTCTAGGTACTTCTATGTCAATTTCATAACACATTATGAATTTCTTTTTTAAAATGTGTGCTTTTATGATTGGATTTTTAAAAAATCTATACTTTTTTTTTTAGAATTGATGTCTTAAAAACAAGTCTTCCAATAGATAAGATATATTTCTCTTATTTGAGTACTTAACATTTCTTTGCTTCTTTTGGTAAGTGTAATCTCAATTTTTATATAATGTTCTAAATGGTCGTTTATTTCAAATTGACTTCCTCTGGCCAGGGCAATTATATAACAATACAACGAATTGCAAGTATCATCTTTCAAAAGGTATCATTTCTAGAAATGCATTCCTTATGATTTTCTGTATAGCTTAAGCAACACACTGCACATAAAGCCAGCCACTCTGCACATAAATTTCATTCTTTTGAATATTTCAGCTTTTATTTCTTGTTTCCTTATTGCACTGGCGAGGGTCTATTGTAATATATTAAATAGATGTGAGAGGGTCAGACATATATTAGCTTCAACTTATTGTTCATATTGATGTTATCTATCTTATTAAAGAAGTTTTCTGCCACTAGCTTGTTGAATTTTTTCTTTTGATCATGAATGATGTTGAATTTTAAAAATAGTTTTAAATCAAGTAAGACAATAATATAATATTTTATTTGATGAATAGCCCAATGTAAAATCCTTACATACTTACAATTCAGCCCAATTGGTCTTCATTATTCTGTTTAATATTTGTCTATATATGTATCTATAGTCATTTTAAATTAAATATACAATATTTTGTTAAGGACTTTTGTATCTATTTTCACGAAGTTTATAGCTCAGAAATTTTATTTTCTCTTTTATAATTCCCTAGTTTGGGTTTTAGGGGTACGTTATTCTCATTCACCAATTTGATAACATCCTCTCATACTATGTTACAAAATATTATTACTTCTGTACAAAAATTTGAAGGAATTCATCTGTGAAGGCATCTGGAAGCATGGTTTTCATTTGTACATTTTTTACTCTTGGAGGTTTATCTTAATTAAACTCAAAGATCCAGGAAGCTTTGTCTTCTGTCTTCTTTGTTCTACTGTTTGATTTACACTTTCTTTCCCATAAGAAATTTCCTTTTCAAAGATGAATAATTTTATTGGCTGACTTCCTGCCTGAAGTTAATTGGGGGTCAGATCATTATGCAATATCTCCATCATCTTCAGGCTAAGGGTATAATTCTTTGGATGTTTTAAATCATTATTAGGCTATGCATTTTTAAAAATCATTTTATTGGGGGGGTTGTACAACTCTTATCACAATCCACGTATCCATCCATTGTGTCAAGCACATCTGTACATTTGTTGCCATCATCATTCTCAAAACATTTTTTCCTACTTGAGCTCCTGGTATCAGTTTCTCATTTTTCCTCTCCCTCCCCCACCCTCCATCATGAACCCCTGAGAATTTATAAATTATTATTTTTTCCATGTCTTACACTGACCAATGTCTCCGTTCATAAGGATATGATTTTTAAAATAGGTTTTTTTTTAATGAATCAAGTTTTAAATGAACTCACTAAACAAGGGCAACACACATACGTAAGTGGCTTTAAATAAGATTTAGAAAAAACATATTTGTATAATAGGCCTACGAGAGGCTGATCTGATAAATCCTACTGTGATTCTTATCAGTGTTATTATATAAGAGTGTTTTTGTTTTTTTAATGTTGCAGTCACAGAAATGTTTATAAGTCTCCTTATCTAGATGAATGGGTAAGTTTCACTTCAAAATATCTGGAAGTTTAAACAGAGGAGTTTATAATTACATGATTGATTTCATCTTTATCTTTGGCATTTAAATATTGTATTTAGCTATTTCTTAATTTTAAAAGCACATTTCTTGAAAAGACAAGCTATGAGTCAGTTTTATTTTCAAACAATATTATTTAGTTTTTTTAATGTTTTCTTTATATTCTACTTGAAAATTGAACAATTCTTTCATTACACTTACTGTGTTTTCTCACAGATAGCTCAGGAAGACAGTTGATGCTGTTTGTAATCGCCAAAAAGAAAAAAAAATCTTGCTAGCTGGAACCCTGAGTTCTGTTTTCTACATCACTATGTGCAACAGGAATGCCAGATATCTACCATATTATAATAAAAGAAATCCTTTCTCTAACTTCTAACAACGTGTTCTTAAACTCTCCTTGGAGACCAATCACTCATCTTCTACAGACAATTTCATGAAATGCTGTAATAGTCTTCAGCAGCCCTCCAGCTTCAACTCACCATCCACTTCCCAAACTAATACCAAGCTTTTTAATATTCTTGTTATGGAAACCAATCACTCTAACGACCAAGTTAGTGATTATACATGTATACTGCTCAGTAAGGAAATATCCCAAAGCCTACTAATGTAAAACAATCATCTCATTTTTTCACAGTCTTTGGGAATCAAGAGTTTGGAAAGGGCTTAGCGTATGATGGCTTTTTGTTTGTTTCAGTGTAGTCAAATTTCATGCATAAGTATTGGTTTACAATAGGATGAGTGTCCTAGAAATGAGAATTCGAAGAATAAGGTCAGAGCAGGCCCAGCTTGTCATTTCTACTCCTTTTTATTGACCTGGTATACCAATGAGATCACCTGGGGTCTAGGAAAAGAGCAGATTATACTGCTCATTGGAGAATCTCTTGGGTGTGCATGAACAGAAGGCAGTCTACATAGTGTAAAGATAAGGTACTGCCACCAAACTTTTACTACTAAAGTAAGACTATCTTAATTATGTATTAAATATATCATAATTTTAATATTATGATGTATCTGCTATTTTTCAGACGACACATGATGGCATATATACTAAATTCAACAATTTCTACATGTACAATGCAGTGACACTAATTGCTCTTCGAGGTGGACAACTATTCCTGTCCTACTTGTCTGAGCTAATTCTCTTCCAGTCACATAAACTCAATGCCCTCTAAGGTTCCTATGTTTTTCTTGGTTTGCCATTGTTGACTTGATCTTATACAGATCGCTCTTAAAATGGCAACAATGCTCAAAGTAGACATGTTTAAAAAGTTAATCCTTTCGTTGTCAAAGTATTTTCTGATTTGAATATTTTATTGGTACTATGTTTCCAGTATTGACAGGCATGTCAGAATACAGGAAAAAAATGAAGCAGTGTAGATTTTGGTTCAGTTCTATGGGACACAGACGACGCAGGTGAACTCTGGCTTTCAGATTGCTGGCCAGAGTCCACTTCCTCCCCTTCAGGTTGCTGTACCTGAGTAGAGCAACCTGGGGAGATGGTATTCTGAACTACAACTGGGATTGCAACTTCCCAAGAAACTTAAAAGATCAAAATATTGGTAGGTGATATTTATTACCTATGGGTCCTAAAAGAGATAAGCCAAATTATTATCCCTGGTACGTAATGTTATATCATGCTAGATGACTCAGATTCTGCCCTGAAAATACTACAATTTCATCCTGTCCCTTAAGCCTAACAAATGGACTGCTGATGTTTATGGTCCCTCACCCTCATCTGATTGGCTTTGCTACCTAATGCCTTGAAGAACTGAAACTGCTTAATGTTTTCCTGGCTGGATTCTGATTGGTATATCTTACTTATTATATATGTTTCTCTCTGGAAGTGAATAATATGTTTCTCTCTGGAAGTGTTTCTCTCTGGAAGTGAGAAACATGTTTCTCTCTGGAATTGAATAATAAATTACCAGAGGTCACTTATTTTATGTCTACATAAAATCTAAATGTGATGAATAGATAAAGTGTCATTTATGAAATTTAATAAATTAAATATTATATTTTAGTATATTTCCAGTTTATAATTAATACTTACCAGGGGTAATGGCATTTGCTGTAGGTGGATAATTCCCACTGTCAATACTCCCACCAATCCATGTTTGGTCTACACTTTGACAATTTGGAGGTAAATAGGTAGGGTTACAATGACAGTTCTTTTTATTATTGCATACCTGAAACCAGGAGAAATAAGACTTGATATGAGAAGCAACTAAAGTAATATATGTTCAAGAATTATATTAGTGAATTAGAATTAGAAGAATTGTATTCAAGAATTAGATTCCATGTGTTTTCATTTATATGTATGATAGATGTTATACTTAACATTAAACAAGTGTGATTTCATTAATGTCTGGAAATTACATATGTTTAAAGAACTGTGTACAGGTGCCAAGTTGGCATGTGGTGAATTGTGATGTTTATTGTGCCAACCTGGCCAATAAACACTTGGGATTAATAAGGTTGCAGTTTAATTGAAGGGCAAAGAGAAGGTCAAAACAGTGAGCCTCACCTTTCCGTGCCTTGCTCTCTAATGATTGGAGTAGTGTGTGGCTGCCTTAGCTGGTTCTTTGCCTCAACTTGTGAGCTGCACTGCCTGTGGGACACCCATCCCGTGGACCGTGTTGCTATAGTTTGAGGTTCCTTCGAGACTGCTTCACTATACTGTTTGTGTAAGCTAGGGACTGTTGGACCCTCTCGTCTGGCTGTTGGTGACCCACTCTGCTGCTTGCTGCCTATGGGCAGACTGCATGTCTTGCTTTACAGAAGGCTCAGATGTCTGCTTCCTTGACTTGCACTGACAGCGCTCGTGAGTTGAAGGACTGCTAATATATTAACTGTCTCTCGGAAGTGAGTTGAACTGAGCCCTCTGTCCTGCTCTGTGGACTAATTAACTGTTTATCTTTTCATATAGTATATATCTATGCACATATATAGAGTATCTAGCCATATAATATCTCTCAATATAAATTCTATTATTTAAGAAATATAGAATTGTACTGAAGTCAGATAATACCTGTCTGGACTGATAAAAGGACAAACCCATCTGTCTTGGAGGAAGTAAGGACAGAGTGCTCTGTAGAGGCAAGTGTTGTGAGACTTCCTCTTATATACTTTGGACATGTCAGGCGGGACACAGTCCCTAGAGAAAGACATCATGTTTAGTAAAGAAGAGGGTCAGCGTCAATGAAAAAGAAGAAGGCCTTCAAGATTGACACAGTGATTGCAGACTTGGGGCCAAGCAATTGCTAGGATGACTCGGGCCCATGCCATGCTTGCGTCCTGTTGTGCAGAAGGTGGGAATGAGTTGGAACAATCTTGAAGGCATTTAGCAACAGGCAGATGTGTGTGTATTTGACTGGGAATCAGTCTCAATGATCTGTATTCTCTTGTCACAGCATTGATACTTACACCCTTATTATTGCACTTTGTTACATCACAGTCATAATTCAAGTATGTAGATGCAACACATTTCATATTTTTGCAAACCTTAAAAGAAAACAGCCAAAATAAGTAAACTGTCATCCCATCTAGATTTACAATCTAATTAAACGGATTTATTTTTATGATGAATATATGGATTATTGCACTAATAATGAATGATTACTCTATGTCCAGCACTAGATGAGACTTGGATTAAGTAGAATTAAAGGAAACAACAGCATATTCCCAGCTTATAATGGGAGTATGGGATGCAGATACAAAGTATATTAAAACACAGATAAACCTGCAATACTTGAAATGATAAAAAATTTTTGACACCTTCAAATATAGGGAACTTATCTGATATGTGGCAGCAGTGAAGTCTCACTGAGGGATTAGTCAGAAGTGCATGATAAATTATTTGTGGTACAGTGAACAATTTTGGAAATGGGTTTTCAGTGAAAAATTATATATAACTCGAGCGTTTTAAGGGGTCAGTGTGGCTGATGTACAGAGGAGAGACATTCATTTTATAATCCAGTATTTTTTGTTCTTGATGCCTTGGGATTTAGGGCTGCTCTTGGAGTTATTTGGGTCAATTATTCCAAAAACTGCATTGGATAGACTACATCAACTTTAGTTTCTTTT